CAGCATGCAGGTCAGAGCCTTACTTGTGATTTCCAGGTTTCTCTGTTTCAGCCCCTGGCGAGGCCATCCCTCAGCTGAGGCAGGACCCTAGGAGAAAACAGCACAGAGTCTGTTAGAAGTAATAGTCAACACTTGAGGAGCTTATATGAGCACACTTCGATTGGAGTCAGTGGCTGACAAGGGAGCAGGGGAGCGGCAGACGGAGAGAAGGTGGAAGCAAAGCGAGGACGTGACTGACGGCTGCAGCATGAGGCCCAGGGGCCTGTGTGAGTGGTTGTTCATAGCATTTTGATTTTGTAGCCTGGAGGCATGTACAGCTTAGATTTCAGTGTGCTGACACAGGCTGCCTCGGCATTAGAGACACCTCAGTCCAATGGGCTCCTCGTTTAATTAGTTGAACACTAGTGGATCCCCCCAGTAGGAACCAAGGTCACTTGGACCGTCAGCAAGGCCACACTAACCTGTGCAAGGTCAGTGCCATGAAGAGGAACTCGACAAATTTACATCACATACACGTACATATATAAGACCTGGAGGGTTGCTAATTTCAGAGAGGAGCTGGCGGAAATGTGCCCAACGCGAGCCTGGGTTGGCGTCTCCTACTCTGGTAGAAAACCCTTCTTCACTTCCTGGTCCCTCAGACAAGACTGCCTTGACCCAACAGACCACACCTGGGTGCCTCACGCTTCTAGAATTTTAACTCTTCTCCAGCAGGCCTCAAGGACAGCTCAGGGGGCAGAGAGGGGCCCGGCAAAGGCACCAGCTCTTGAGGGCCTGCCATGAAGGGAAGGGAAAGACCTGGGGCAGGTAGGGATCAACCCCTGCCCTGGTCCCACTCGAGAACCAGAGGAAGGGAAAACCATGAGACACAACCACAGTTCTTACTGGGGCTCAGCCACCAGAGCACCGACCCGACACCAGTGCCTGCAGAGCTGAGCCCGAGCACCTGCTGGGTGACCTCGGTGAGTGGTCTACGGTGGAGCTAGCTCCCCCATCCCCAGGTCAGGTTCTCAACCTGCTACCTCACCAGCCACTTACCAGAAAACCAGCCTCACAAAGCTAAAACCCAAAGCCCTCTTTTTGGAAAAAAGGGTTGATGGCCGCTGTTACACTTAGATACTGACCATTTTTGGCAAATTCTGAAAACCAAAGCATATTGTCATAGTTGGGTCTGGAGCACAGATTTTCCTGCAGTGCTGCCTTGTCTCTCTTCACCTAGCCTTCATGCTCCCTTAGCATTTACAGGACACTTCTGAGGAAATGTCAGCCTGTGAGTCAACTGCAAATTGACTGAACCCAAGGAGGGGGGTTATGGGAACCTCCTCTCTATAGCCAGTGGGTCAGAAGCACAGGTGATAACCTGGACTTGTGATGGGGGGCAGTGGGAGGGGGAAGGCGGGCAGTCTTATGGGACTGAGCCCTTAGCCTTTGGGGTCTGACACTGTCCCCAGGTAGACAGTGTCAGAATTGAGTTGGATTGTAGGACCCCCTGGTGTAGGGGCTGGTGTGGAGAATTGCTTGACAGTGTGGGGAAAACAAAGTAGAATTGTACTTGGTGATCAGAATCTTAGGTCATAATTTGCCTTTACAGCATCCATCAGACAGACTGATGCAGACAGCCCAGCTTCTGAAGAAGTCTGGCTTCCAGGAAATGCAGCCCTTGGCACCTCCACCCTGCAGTCAGCAGCCGCTATCCCTCTGGGATCCACCTCACTGTCTGCAGTAAGTGCAGACGTGCCTTCCGGCGAAGCCAGCCCCCAGCCCTCATTATCAGCTCTCCCTTGTCCACTGAGAGATGAAGTAGGGCTTGGGGTCCCCTCCTCCTGCAATCCGTCCCCTCCTGGCTGCTGGCTCTTCCTCTGTGGGTAGGGGGTGGGGAGCTCAGAAAGAGGAAGAGCTAGAGGCGCCTTCCCACGGGGCAGCAGCTGAATCAGAGGTGCACAGTGCACCCCAGAAGGTCCCCAACCCCTATTTTCCAGGAAAGGAATCTCAGCCACAGAGAAGACCTCCTGTCTGGCCTTGCAGAGAAAGTGTTGCTCTCTAGGCCGGGTGGCTTCTCCTGCCCCTGAGCCAGAGAACCGCTTTCCCTGCCTCGGCCTTGCCCTCTGCTGCCCCAGACCTGGGCTCCTTCCTGAGTCTGCTCGGGGTCTGCTTCCCCTTGTACTCTCAGTACCAGGTGATTGCTCCCCTCCAGGCTGCGACCCCGCCCACCCCCCACCCCCAAAGTAACTCCTCCTTGGGCCTGAGCCTCATCCTGGGGGCAGCAAGGCTTTACTGAACCAACTCTGTGCAGAGAAAATCACAGACTTTTGCAATGTTCTAATTGGAAATTTCCCCACTAAATATCTTAAGACACTTATAGGTGGAGTGAGCACACAGGCAGGTTGGCCTGGGAGTCCCGGTATAGTCACCAGAGCCACATTTCATTCTCAGAAGGACCTGGGTGTGGAGGATCAATGATATGGCCACGCCCCCACCCCACCCCCTACCCCGCCCACTGAAAAAGGTCAAAGGTGGGGAGGCGGTGAACCTCTCAATTTACTTCCCCTGAGACCAGTTAGAACAGGACGGGGAGCCCAGGAGCCACTCTACTCTCACTGGCAGGCTGGTTGCTCACCCAGATTCCCCCTTCTTCCAGAGGCCACTAGCGAGGGGAGCGGGCCCCGTTGCTGTGAAAGGAGACCCTGGTGATGATTAAGAAGGGAGTGATAACCACGCAGGGGCACAGGGCAATGGTGGAATCTCAGAAGAAATTTTCAAGTTAAAAAAAAAAGTGCATAAACTTGTAGGCAAACGAATGGCACCAGTCATTCCTGTAAACAGGGAATGTTACCTCCATCAGCCACTGCAGCAGCCCTCATGGTGCACCCCGAGGGGACTCAGGATGGAGAAAAGAAGGACACTGGCCCTAGGTAGTGAAGATGCACATCAAAGGAATGATTTCCATGAGCCCAGACTCTTGCATCTTCCCATACACAGAATAGCACTGAAATCCTTGAGATGCCTGCTTTTCTGATTAGTAGTAATCTTTTAATTACATGTTTGTTCGTTTTTCAGCAAAACTCCCTCTTTATCCTGGCTCCCCCCTTACCTCTTTGGAGCAGTCCCTCAGAGCTCTCTGAGAGGCTGTGTGCTGGGCTAGTCCTCAGGGAGGCCGCCGCATAAAACATACTTCCCAAATGTTAGGTTGTGCTTTTTTTTTTTCAGTCAGCAAGCTGCATTATTTTTTCCAACCGTCAAAGGAATCAGGAAACAGGCCCAGGGGATGCTGCAGTCCCTTTACCAACAAGGCCCAAGTTTGGTCCACTGGGGTTTAACACGGAGAGGAGGAGTCCCCCAGGGTCCACTGTAGTCTGTTCAACTCCGGGTCACAACTTAAGGCATAGACAAACACTCGTGGGGGGATGCCCCACCGTCTACTCTGCACGCAGAGGCCCAGGGCGGGCACTGTCCAGCACTGCCCTTGTGCAGTGTAACTAGGAGAGGCCATTCATAGGTGAGCTCATTCAGAGAATTTAGGGAATGTTTCTGACAACCGCTTTTTCAATTGTTTTACTGAATTAATGTTATCATGCACCTGGACCTGTTTCCTCCAACAGATAATATGTATGTGCATTTCCTAAGGACACACGCTTGACATCATACAGCAGACTTCTAGCCTGGGCATCATCCCAGGACGAAACCTGTGGAGCATACACTTCGTTTCCTCCGTGGCGGAGAAAATACAGCTTGCCAAACCCCATCACTGAATTAGCGTCGCAGCGCTGTCCAACCAGGAAAGACTCAAGGTGGTTGGTCTGTCTGCCCCGCCTCAGCCCCTGTGGCTGTGGATGGAGCTGCAACACCAGGGGGGATTCGGGCACTTGCCTGGTACTTTTAGTTCACCTTTTTAGTAACTTAATGCCTTTCTAATTAAGTATTATCTGTAAGAGAGCAGATAGTGCTAAGCATTGCACACATTAGTCATCCAATGTGTCAAATCCCCAACAGGTAGCTGTCCTGGTTCCTCAAGGCGTACCTATTCAGGTTAGAACCCGCACCCGCTGGGGTGTGTGTGATCTGAAGGGAGATGAGAAAGACCCAGGGCTCTGAGAAGCTGGAGTCCACTGCCGCAAACACGAGTGACCATGAGCTCCAATGCAGGTCGGCTGACGGAGAGCCAGGGAAAGGTGCAAACAGCGCCCGGAGGTCTATCTAGTTCAGCGTGAGGAATGGGTTGTTTCTTAGTGGTCCCTGACTAGGAATAGCCAGGAAAAGATGTGGCAGAGAGAGGACAGGACTAACGGTATTTACAACAAGGAGACATGAAACCCCATGAGATATGTGGAGGGTGCAGAAGAAACAGCTCAGCCAGCTCAGCATGGGGAGACGGGATTCGGGCGCTGGTTAGGGGCCAGGTGCCCAGACAGCCGCGTGTCACCACCGACAACGTGACACCGTCCTGGGGGTGACCGGGGGACTCGGAAAACCTGGAAGCAGGGAATGACAGTCAGAGGTTTGTATATTGGATCCACACAAAGGGCTCCAGAATAAGCCACTGTCACATAACAACTATTCGGAGCTGAAGACTTTGAGTTCCCGAAAGCCCGTACCTGCCTGAACCTAGAGACTTCCAAACATGTCACCACCCCTCCTAGGAAAAAACTCTTTTCTCTGAAAAAAACCCAAATAGATATTGTCCTATCTTATATCTCATCTCTTTTTCTAAGGGGCCATTTGTCTCTCAGAAGTCCTCTGTGTTTCTCTAAGTGCCCTTTTGGCCCCACCCCCTTCTGTCATTTTCTCTCCCAGAAGTGCCTCTCTGCCTCTCCCCACCCCTTTTTTTTTTTTTTGCGGTTCGCAGGCTTCTCACTGCTGCGGCCTCTCCCGTTGCGGAGCACAGGCTCTGGACGCGCAGGCTCAGCGGCCATGGCTCCCGGGACCAGCCGCTCCGCGGCATGTGGGATCTTCCCGGATCGGGGCACGAACCCGCATCCCCCCGCATCGGCAGGCGGACTCTCAACCACTGCGCTACCAGGGAAGCCCTCCCCACCCCCTCTTTTAAGATGGTATATAAGCCCCAAATTCCAACTACCTCCTGAAATCACATTTTTCTCTGAACTCTCCCATACACATGTAAATAAAAATCTGTCTTTTCTCTTGCTAATCTGTCTTTTGTCTTTTTAACCTGCAGTCCCCCAAGAACTGAATCTAAGAGGATAGAAGCTTTTCCTCCCTGCAGTTGGATTTGAAGGACACACAGCGTGAGCAGAGATGCAGTCAGAAAAGGAAAGTGTGGCACCTTCCACATCCAGGAGGCGAATCCAAAGGGCTGGAAGGTGGTATCAGGGTGAGGCTGCCAGGGATGCCTGTGTCGAGGGGGAGGACAGGGAAAGAAGGCCACAGTGTGATGTTCCAAGCAAGGGGTGAGGTTGGACGTTTCGTCAGAGGCACTGGGTTCCTGCACAAGGTGCCTGCAGCCGTCACCCGAGGCAGAAATGCCGGGGGATACGGGGCCGCCGGTAGGAACTAGGCGCCTGGGGCCGAGTCCAGTACTAGAGAAGCATGGACTTTCCACTCTGTCATTCAGGGGGCAGCAGGGTCCCAGGTGAGCCCTAGTCCAGAGACAGGGCTTCCAGGAGAGCTGACGGCTTTCCCACAGCCCGGCCGACCAGTGGCGTGAGACCCCCCGACTTGGAGCCTGTCTCAGAAAGCATGCCTTCTAACAAACACTGTCCCAAGGGCCGCGGGTGTCCTAAAGGTGTCTCCTCTCACTTTCCAGGACCCCATGTTCTCTAAACAGGAGGGTTTCACTAGATTCCGGCCGGGAGGTGCCACCTCCCAGAGAACTCTGATCCTGGCTCTGGGGTCTCAGGCTCCTCGACTGCTAGGGGACCCCATGGGCCCACTGCCTGGGGCGCTGAGCCAATAAACACACCAGGTACTTCTGATTAAAGCAGGAGCCTTTACTGCTGGTAACAAGGAAGGAGACAGGGAGCTAGCCGTCCAAGCACCGTCTCCCCAGCTGCGGGATGGGGATGCTTTAAGCCAAAGGCACATGCGTACTCATGAAAGGGCACACGTGACCTTCCGTGTAGACGGGAGTTCTGGACGCCCTTGCCAAGTTCTGGACGCCCTTGCGGACAATATGCCCCAACACACAGTGCATGTGCAAACATGGCGGCAATCCCACCCTTGGGGCAGATATTTTAGCATTAAAAAGAGGTAAAGGTCACTCTAGATTGACAAAATCCAGGCACCTGATTGTGGGTCCCAAAGGTCAGCATCACCACCCCTTAGGCACCAGTTAATCTGGTGGTTGGGCGCTTAAAGGGGTTTGGATCCTGCAAAACAGCTCAAGAATGTGCTTCAGGCCAATCTTTCCCTTTGAAACAAAACGGGGAGTCTTTATGACTGATTCTTGCCTTTGCTATGGTGACTTCTCTTGCCTGAGAACAGTTGGTTGTTCCTGAACTATTTGTTCCTTTTTAAATCATTAATTACTGAGAACTACCCTTTGTTTCCACCTGAGACACGGGAGGCCATCGCTCACCTTCCTCCCAACCACCATTGAAGGGAACACAGTGCGAACCGAAATTCGCACTCTAGCTCTTAATGTGGGCCTGTCAGCGCACGTTACAATTTCTCTGTTGCCTGTTCTACTTCCATGAGATACGACATTATCTGGTTTGACCCCACCCCTTCCTTACTTAAGACTGTCTCAGCAACACTAACTTTGCAAAATCAAAACACCCTTCAGTTGGTTTTGGTTTTCTTGTTTTGTTGTTGTTCTGTTTTATTTTAGTTTTAACCCACTAAACCAAATTCAGACAGGTGGGTTACTTTGGCATACAGCTAAGTGTGTAAACGTTTATAACTTTTTTTTTTTTTTTTTTTTGCGGTACGCGGGCTTCTCACCATTGGGGCCCCTCCTGCCGCGGAACACAGGCTCCAGACGCGCAGGCTCAGCGGCCACGGCCCACGGGCCCAGCCACTCCGCTGCATGTGGGATCCTCCAGGACCAGGGCACGAACCCGTGTCCCCTGCATCGGCAGGCGGACTCCCAACCACTGTGCCACCAGGGAAGCCTATAACATTTTTTTTTTAATGAACGTATTTCAAAAGCGAATGTGTGTGTGTATATGGGAGGAAGTGAAAGAAATGTTCAGGGTTTACCTTTAAGAAGTGGGAAAAGCTGCAAGTTTCACTTTCTGTTATATGTTAGTTTTGGTTCTTTTTTTTTTTTTAACAATGAGTTTGTATTAATTTTTTGATTAACGAAAAAGTCCACTTGGACAAAAGCCAATGTAAAGAAAAACTACTTTGTCTGTTTCAACTAAAGTGTTACTTCAGTGCCCACCAGGGCTGAAAGTCCTAGAAAAGACTATAATTCATGCCCGATAAACCTGGCTGAATCAAGGAGTCTAGTAGAGAGATAACTAGAAGGTCAGTTTGGCCTCTGAAAAGGGAAAAAAGTCATGGAAGACTGGCTGAGAAGTGGGAGAGTGGAGCCCAGTGCTGAGAGCCTGGCAGAGTGAAAGCAGACAGGATGGGAGGGGTTGGCAGGGTGGGAAACCCAGATGGAGACAATCTTTCTATTCAGGGAAATCGCAAGTCTTTTAAAAGCCAAGGTCACAGCCAACGAATAGAACCGAAGGTCTCTTTGACCCGGAAAACAGAATAAGTGGGGAAAGATGGGCCAAAGTGAGGCCAGGCTAGTCAGGGCAAGGTGGCGGAGAGGCAGACGGAAGGACGGAAAACAGCCGAGGGGAGTGCAGAGCGCAGGGTCGCCACGCCTGGAGCCGGCCTCGAAGGCCTTCCAGGAAATGGTCCTGTTCTAACCTGGATTTCAGACGGGGTTTCTCTGCAATTCACCATGGGCGGGGAGCCGCCCAGGGCACGGCTGACCTCTGGCGGGGAGGGCCAAAGACCGCCAGTCCTGGAGGAAGGGCGGTGGGGGCAGGGAGACTTCGGGCCGGTGACCTTGAGTCCCCGGGTCACGCCCCGACCCCGGAGCCGGCGAGGCTGCCCCAGGTGCCAGTCTTAAGAACAGCCTGCTGCATACAAGAGCTGCAGATGGACCCGCTCCCCGCTGCAAATCGGATTTGTGTCAGATACTCTGTGACTGAAGTTTCTCTTTTGACCTGCCGGACACCTCGACGCCAGTATTTTACGCTATGACACTTTGTCGTCTGTTGGCTCAAGGCGCACACCTGAGTCCATTTGAACTCTGCAAGTACGGTAACACTCATTCTCCAAAACGGAATTTCCCCTCTCCCCCGACAAGAAGGGGACGTTCCAAATGCTCCCGATTCCCTTCCCGCTCAATTTGGACTGAGGAAGACCTGCCCAGCTCCGCCACGCGCGAATCGCCTCCGCCAGGTGGACCAGCATCCGGACGGCGCCCTCCGCGCAATCCTCCCCACCCGCCCTCCCGGCACACCCTCCCCACATATCCTCCCCGCGCGCCCTCCACGCACATTCTGCCCGCGCCCCCTCCACGCACAGCCTCCCCGCAGATGGCCCCGCGTCCGCGAGCCCGAGTCGCCTCACCGGCAGGTCGATTATTCCTGAAAACAGGACGCTGGCCGCAGACACTTCCCGTGCAGGGACCGCCACGGGTTGCGCCCGACGCCTGCCGAGAGCTACCGGCGAGCGAGTGGAGTAGGGCCGCCCGGGGGTCCCCGCCCGCCCGCCAGCCCCTCCTCCTCTCCCGGGGCCCCTCCCCTCCCGGCGCCCCCGCCCCACCCCCGCCTGGTTTCTTGTTCCGCAGCGGGCGGCGGCGGATGACCAGCAGGTTACTAATTGAAACCAGTTGCCTCGCCCACGACACCTCCCTGCGGCTTCCTCCCCGCCTGACAGCAGAGACGTGGGGGACAGAGGTGACTACCCGAGGTCACCGCTCATGCTAGAGCCCGGGTGTCCGCGGGGCCCACCCCGAGCGCGAGCCGGAGGGCCGGGGGAAAGTGGCAGAGAGGATGAAGATGGGGAGCCCTGGGCCCCGGGGTAGGAGTGGGGCCGGGCAGGCCAGGCGCGCTGCGCTGGGTTTCCCTTTGGGACCATCCTGGTCCTGGGAGCACCCGGCACCCGGGAAGGCCCGGGAGGAAATGACTCATTCATTCAGAACCACCAGCTGAGGCGGCGGAACTGCCTCCGGGTCTCCTGCCAGAGCTGCCTGTCCCGTCACGTACCGGGCAGGGGTGGGGGGAGGAGGTGCGGGGAGCCCTGTTCTCTGGGGCGGTGGATGGCACTGGCCTGCTACCCCTGGGGGATGAAGGTCTCCTTTTCCTTCCTTTCCAACAGGCTGCACAGGAGCCAGAAAACCAAATACCAAAGACTTACCTATTTGTTAAGTTACACCTGGTAAATGTGACACCTGGAAACAAGTTGTGTCCAGCCTTCTCTAAACCACACGGGTGAACCCAGCCCAGCCCCGGCCAGCTCCAGCGCGGATCCCTCAGCTAGCAAAGCCAAGGACACCCCGCCGTCACCTCCCCAGGCCAGCCCAACCCACCAGAGAACTCCAAAGGTTTCTGCAGAACTGGTTGCCCTGCACCAAGTGGTGACACCAACTCAGTCGGGCTCACCCAAACCCCAGAGTGATTCCAAGCTCGGATTCTCCCAAAGCTGAGAGTATTTCAGAGATACTCAGTGAGGCTTCCTGCTGCTTCCCACCGGCCAAGTCCCTCTCCAGCCCAGGGCTGCCCTACTTCCTGGATGCCTCTCAGAGCGACGGTGGAGACCCTGAAGAAACCCATCAGGAGGTCATGAACCAACATCATGGGGCAGAGCCAGCATTTGATCCTTAATGAGACAGGATGGAGGAGAAAAGCACCCCTCCTGGCACACGCGATGGGGAGGAGGGGGGGTAAGGTACCTCCGTGTCACACAGGGTATTCTCAGGCCGCCCACCCAAACATTCAGGAGTGCCCCCAGGCACCTGATGGATGCCACCTGCTGACAGGCTGGCACCCACTGGGCCTTCACCTGCAGGAGTGCTGCGGGCAGATGCACAGGAAAGGGCAGCCCCCCCACCCCCCAGTGTCCCCTCTGGGACATCACACACAGAGGCGCATGAGAGCCCAGGGTTATCCACATGGCTCTGCCTGCAGGCCGTTTTCCACGAGCTTTCTGCCCCATTGCTTTCGCTCTAAACCATTAACTGGTGCTGTCTGTAGTGAATTTTCCCTCATGTGAATTACCCTGGTGCCCTTGGCCGCACTGCGTGCTGGCCGGTGACTTGCTGAACTCATCCCTCACATGCGAACGATGCCCATTGCTGCAGGGGTCGACGAGGGTCAGATGAGATACAAAAGCCTGTTATGATTTTTTTTTTAATGTATTTATTTTTGTCTGCGTTGGGTCTTCATTGCTGCCCGTGGGCTTTCTCTAGTTGCCGCGAGCCAGGGCAGCTCTTCGTTGTGGTGCACGGGCTTCTCATTGCGGTGGCTTCTCTTGTTGTGGAGCATGGGCTCTAGGCGCACAGCCTTCAGTAGTTGCGGCACATGCGCTCAGTAGTTGTGACTCGCGGACTATAGAGTACAGGCTCAGTAGTTGTGGCGCGCGGGCTTAGTTGCTCCGCGGCATGTGGGATCTTCCTGGACCAGGGCTCGAACCCTTGTCCCTTGCATTGTCAAGCAGATTCTTAACCACTGAGCCACCAGGAAGCTCCTCTGCTGCTTTTTAATGTACAATCTGGCCAATTTTTGAAGATGTTTCCTGGGCTCGAGTTAAGCCCTTTGTAGGGTGCGAAGTACCTCATTCTCTTCCGTCATCATATCTGCTCTAATTCCTGACATTTATTTCCACTTTCTTTCCATGGTGCCTTACTTGTTATTGTACTGCTCTGCATTCTCCTCCTTGAAGCTATTCTCCGTCTTTCCTCTCTTCCACTAACTTCTACTTTGCTTTTCATAGAGCGTGACCTCTGGGCCCATTTCAGGCAGATCTCAGGCTCTGTACTAAATCAGTTAACAGAGGTTAGAATCCCAGCTTTCTCCAGGGATGCTGGCTTTCCTATGTGTATCTGGGGCTCCCTTCATGGGCAAGTTGACCACCAAATTGAATATTAGATTTATGAAAGCTGAGAGAATGATTGAGTACAGTGTCAGATATTGTGTCAGGAACCTTGTTGAAACTTATTTTGATTAATCATCATTACAGCGCTTGGATAGGAAGTATCTCCTTTTTATTTATGTATTTATGTATGTATTTAGTGGCCGCACTACATGGCTTGTGGGATGGCCTGTTGGGGCTGGAATCCGTGCCCCCTGCATTGGAAGCGCAGAGTCTTAACCACTGGACCACCAGGGAAGTCCCGGATGTATCTCCTTTTGATAAAGGAGGAAACCAAGGCTCAGAGCTAAGCTCTGTGAGCTGGGCTGTGTTGAGCCTGTCAGAAAAACATCATGACACTGGAAGGGTGTGTGTGAGTGTGCATGCATGCACATACGTGTGAAAGTACTATTTCATTAAACACTTCTTTTGCTGGTTTTAACTGACAATTTATATTTAGTATGATCTAGCTATATTTTTGATCTTTTGGCAAAAGTGCTTTACTTCAGAACAATTAGATGGAATGTGCAAATCTTCTGTTTTCATAACGTTTGTTTTCTATTACCAAGCAGAAAGTTAACTGCACGACTGGCTTTTTCAATAACAGACCCCAGGTGCCCTGCATGGAGCCGAGATCTGATCACAGGTCCCTGCCCCAAACTCTGTCCTCTCCCTAAAACCACGGGTTTCTGCTACTCTAATATCCTCAAAATGGATCGAAGGGTCTTAAGCTACTGATACCTGTTCCTGATGGTTTTTTCTTGGGGGGGGGGGCGGGTTGAGAATGAGGTAGGGATTGAAGTAGAGAAAGGAAGGGGGAGGGGAGAAACCAGGGACAGTCGGCACCTTCCTCTAGAGCAGACTCTTTCCCTTCACCGCACGCGCCACTCACGTCCTCTGAGCTGTGTAGTTACCCAACCACATGCATCCATGCGTTCAGTTCAGTATATCGTTTAAAGAATTAATTGAAAACGTTTAGATTTTACGTGAGCAAATGCATGATAAGTTTATTCTGGGAAAGAAGCTAAAACATCTCTGAACTTACTTGGCTCTCTGAAAATCTTCCAGCAGAATATTATTATTTTATGAGTGAATTAAATGTACAAAATATAAAACTACATTTTTATGCTAATTACATATAAATAGCAATGAAATTTATAAACTGAGAGAATTGTCTGAGTAGTAAAACATTTTTGTTAAGACTACTAAATTAAATATTTAAATTAAACATATTTTTACTTAATACAAAATAATAAATGTTCACTATTATGGATTTCAGTTTATGCCAAAAATATTTTCAAACATTTAAAACTAGCAAATGCTACAATGTTTTCATACTAAATGTTTAAAATTTCAAGGCATAATAAATTAATCTGTTTCTTAATATAAACTATTGCACAATATTCTGGAATTAAATACTTTTTGTAACAGAAAAATTATTCCTACAAAGATTACAGGACCAAATAGTGAAAAAGCTTTTGGGTGAGTTATTTCCGGTTAAGAGTCTAAACCGTAGATTTCAACAGAAGTAGTGCCAGTAGAGGCTCACGCGCGGGTGGTGACGTCGGCCGAGGGTGGGAAGGAAGTGGCCTGTTCCGAGACCCTGGGATTTCCCAGGCCAGCGAGGCGCAGTGGCGCAAAGCCCATGCGCCTGGCGTCCCAGAGGGATGCAAGAAACAAAACCCAACACTGGCACCATCTACACAGCAGCGACGTCAAATCTGTTCTAAGATGGATCATTTCGTGAGAATCTATGTTAACAAACTGTAACAGGAGCCTTATAACTATAGCTGTTACATAGGTCCTAGCTGCACATCACAGCGGGGTTTATCTGCGCTCCGCGGGCGCTGAGGCAGTTGGAGGTGCTACTGGACCTGCAGTGCAAAATAAAGATAAGACTTTAAGGGCAAAGAGACAAAAGATGGCGCGTTTTATAAATTAAAAAATTGAACCTATTAATTTTAACTAAAAGAAAACATGCACCTCTGCACCTATTTATAATGATTGTTACTGAAGTCGACACAAAAGTCTAGTGCACGGTCCTACCCGCAGCCACAAATCGCACGTCGGAAACATCAGCCTCCAACTTGCAGGCGGCTGGTGATCGCTGAGTCAAGCCTGCAAGTGCCGGGAAGGTTCTGCAGACACAGGAGGGCGGAGCTGAACGCGCAGTGGGGCGCGGCCTGGACAGGGGGGCGGCTCAGCTCCACCGGGCTGTTGCGGCCCCAGGGGATGCTGCCCGGCCCCCACCGTGCACCCCGACACCGCACCCTGCGCACCCGCGTTAACGGTGCCACTCATCTAAAAGGCCACTAGCTATCTGGCGTGTCAGAAACACCTCGAGCGGCTGCAAAAATTGCAGTGAAAAATGACAATCCTGCGACAGGTGGAGGGAAAACACACTAAAGAAGCCTTGATGAGGTCCGGACACTTGCAGCGGCCGGCTCGGGTCGGAAAAGGCAAGCTCCGGTGGGCGATTGCTGTTCATCACGTTAAAATCCAGGATGGACAGAGGAGGAGGAACGGGAGACAGAGGGCAGCGAGTGGCCGAGGTCAGCCCCAGCGCGCCGCGGCCGGATCTGAAGTACTGGGGAGGGCGGGGCGGCACCCGGGCAGTGACACCTCGGCGACCCAGAACATGCGCAGAGGCAGGTCTGCTCAGCCAGACGGTGATTCTTCCAGGTTACAGGGGCTTTACCAAGCCTACTTAGTCTTCCACTAATTTTGAACTGTTAAAAATTTCCTCTGAGATTAAGAGGGTCTTGCTGCTAATTTAAACACGTGGAGTATATAGCACTGCAGTGATTTATTTCCCAGTAGAAAGTGTGTCACCTTAATGTCCAACGACAGTTCCTAGACCAGATCAGATATTTTGGTGGTGGTGAGGTAAATTCTATCTACTTAAGACCATGCAGAAAAACAATACTAAAAACCCTCAGAGACCCTGTGCAGGTGGGTCTCTGTGCCTGGGGCATCTGTATTTATTTATTTATATTTTTTAACATCTTTATTGGAGTATAATTGCTTTACAATGTTGTATTAGTTTCTGTTGTATAACAAAGTGAATCAGCTATACATATACATATATCCCCATATCCCCTCCCTCTTGCGTCTCCCTCTCTCCCACCCTCCCTATCCCACCCCTCTAGGTGGTCACAAAGCACCAAGCTGATCTCCCTGTGCTATGCGGCTGCTTCCCGCTAGCTAGCTATTTTACGTTTGGTAGTGTATATAGGGGCACCTGTATTTAAATTAGAGGCCTCTCCTGGCCTTTCACTTCTTTACCATTATTTAAACCCACATTTCTCACGTAGTGTCTAATAAAATGTATGCCTCTGAAGTAAACTGAAATATGCTTTATCTTGTGTGATATGCATAAAAGAATAATTCTGTTGTAATAATGTAAGTGGTCCTTCTTTTGCTGTCCCCAAACTGTGTTTCTAGAAGTCTGACTTTTTTTTTTCTCTTCTTTTTTTTTTTGGCCCCTCTGCGCAGCATGCCGATCTTAGTTCCCTGACCAGGGATGGAACTTGTGCCCCCTGCAATGGAAGCGCGGAGTCTTAACTACTGGACCGCCAGGGAAGTCCTAGAACTCTGACTTTTTAAAGACATAGATATCACCAGCTTTTGTAGTTAGAACACGGGTGGTTTGGAGAGGGACCTCACAGGCTTCTGAGATGCATCATCTCCAGATTGAAGAACTATGTCCATCAATTGTTTTTGTGTCTGAGACACTTTTTATACTTGGTTGCAGGTCAGTTTCTCTATAAATACTCACTTGGAGGAGAAGACTCTGTAATAAAGGACAAGTGCATTAGTTGTTCAATTTAATAAAAGAGGCTAATTTTAAAAGAATTACTCTCAATAATTCCTTAAAAATCAGTAAAAGTTTGTATGACTTAAAATGGCATCATGATGACAATGGAGAGAGGGTATCATTAAGACACTGGCCAGGCCAGTGTGGTGCCCACTGGCCTGGAAGACGGGCAGAGCTCATGTTTACAAAACATCACATAAAACACTTGAGATGCTTGAAGAGACACAACACAGCTCCTTCCTCCGTAATCAGAGAAATGGAGCCTCGGAGTGAAAATAAGTTTCCTAAAGGCAAATGGTCAATAAGTTCTAGAGCTACAGAAACTAAATATCATACTCGATAGACCTTAAGATGGACATGGCCCAAAATAAGACTAATTGTCCCTGTGACAGTGACTGTTGAAAATCAAACTAATAAACTTTTTGAACAGCTAATTTCACGGAAATGTCTCAGCTATTCAAAGTTTAATGACAAAGTTTAAGAAATGCTGATAATGGAACAAATTCAAGCTTGAACTGTGAGTTCTTTTCAGGAACTGGGGCTTTATCTGAAGCTGCCTCAGAGAGGACCAAGCATTGCAGGGATCAGAATCTTTTGGACCCAGGAGACTAAAACTGATATCATGTGTGTGGCACAACACATAAAGCATCAGAATTTTTGACAACTAGAAGAAAATGTAAAGCCACAGAAATAATGACTTTTGCTATTCATCTGAATAAAGAGGAAAGAAGCACAATATATATTATCCTCATGTGTAACTGTAACCTCAATAACTCTGCAGGTTTTTTATGCGGTTTTTAGATCACTCATTATGATATAGGTAATGAGACAAGGGGTCTCAGGGGCCGTGCACTTCACCTGGGCCTTCCTTGGCACCTTCCGGAGCCTCCGGGTCTGGGGGCGGCTCGGCGTCCCACGGAGACTGGGACAGAGACGAAGCAGAGGCCTTGGATGTCTGCAGGGTCCTCTTGTCTCGGTCTGCTTGCTGCTGTAACCACTCAGCGTTATATCCATTGCTAATAAGTTTGGAAACGTTTGTGGGTGAACTGTTTTTTTGACCAGGCCTCAAAAAGAAAAAATTAAGTACTTAAGTACAAAGGTGAAGGGTAATCCAGAAGCGTTCTCAGCGAACATACTGATGGTAAATTAGATGCGTTACTGTCCCTGAAGACACAACAGAGATGCTTCTCCCTCTCTCCCTCTCTCTTTCTCAATCTCTCTCCACTTTTAAGCATAAGGAAGTAACCTCCAAGCATCCTTGTACACAGTGAGCGCACACTTAGTTCAGTTTCCAAAACCTTTCTTCAGAACAGCCAAAGAGAAGAATTCCAGCATTTCCCAGGGATGCCTTCTTCTGAAAGAACCGCCCCTTCCCTGGGGAGGGGTGAGTGACTCAGACTCTACCACTTTCAAACAAACTGTTACTTTCTTAATTAGTTCTTCCTTGTTCATGTTAAAGATTATCTGCTGCTTCTTTACACACTTCTGTCTTCTCTCTGTCATTTACATCGTTGCAGACCTTATCATAACCTCCATTAGGAGAGGCGGGGAGATCAGATGTAAAACAAGTGACGCATATCACCTGTGCCCTCCGACCCTTGGGTTTCTTACTTGTAAATCACTCTGTTGTCAAGAGTCTTCCTAATGGCTCTGGCGGGCTCTCTCTCTCTCTCTCTCTCTATATATATATATAGATAGATAGATAGATAGATAGATATAGATATATAGATATAGATAGATAGGTAGATATAGAAATATAGATGGATATAGATAGAAAGACATAGAGGTATACAGATATAGATAGATAGATAGATAGATGATGGATGATAGATAGATATAATTTTTTTGCCCTCCCAGTCTGAGTGTGGTGCTTTCATGGCATTTGTCACACAATGTAACTGACTGATTGCTCCTCCCCCAGCCTCACTAGAGGAGAAGCAATTGTAAGAAGTAGTCAGACAATTAACGGCATTAATTCTAGCACTACAGTGAGATTCTGGGGACGGGAAGAGAAACAGAAGGCCTCGGGGACCCCCGCTCCAGCTGGGCGAGTAATGAAGTGTCAGGGCGCCTGACAGATGTTCCAGCTGAATGCAGAGCCAAGGACTCACCAGGCACAGACACCAGGGTCCAGGCCTTGGGGACAGAGAATGTCAGGACTGAGTAGCACACACATGTGGCCCCAAGTTTATAGGGTGAGCTTGGGTGACACAGGCTGACAGAGGAGAGAGCTCAGCTCAGCGCTCAGGGTGGGGGAGGATGGGTCCACAGGGGCCCAGGGGGCATCCAGAGGGAAGGGAAAATGGAAGAGGAGGCCAGTAGACAGGGCCAGGCCATGGGAAGTTGTGCCATTGAAGTCACATCACCACAACCTGCTGCTGGGAAGCGAATACTGTTAGGCCGGCATCAGCATCGTGTATTGGAGCCATGGTTGTCACTGTTGTCACTTGGACCAAAGACCAAACCCAAACCGAATCCAGACCACGCTGGCGCAGCCTGTGCACTTACATGGGGGGAAAGGATAGTTTGCTTCCTGCAGGGTCTTTGGGGCCAAGCGGGGTCCCGGCTTTGCTCGGATACTTGGACTTGATGGCTGGTAGCCTCACCTGTACAGAGAGACACACGATACCCTGACTTAGAAGGGTTTGCTCCCTGCACTTTCTCAGCCCCTGCATGGCTCTGTCAATGGTTTGGCGGCAGTACAGCATCCAGCCTTTTATAGGGCATGGGCACCGTGACCCTGGTTAGCATCCGAAGCCTCTGTTTATTGCTGGGAAGTGTCACCAGGAGCAGCCCGTTCACTGAACATGCCAACCCCCCAGAGCCAGGCTCAGGGCTGGGACAGGGTGTCTTGAGGACAGACAGCTGGCCCGCTGCACGCAGCTGACACTGCACAGTGCTCAACTCTGCAAGCCCCGGAATAAACTTCCAGGGTTTCTCTTCCAAGCAGACACTGCGAAGCGGGCTGGGGTCAGGCGAGGAACCTGCCAGCCAGCGAGGCCGCTCCCCTGTCGTGCGGGGGGAGGGCAGCCAACCTTGCTCATCGTCAGGACCCACTGCCGGTTTTAACATGAACGTCACCAGTTCACCCACAGATCCCCACGTCCCAGGAGCCACGCCAGCCCCATGAACCGAGACACCGCCACCAGAAAGCCACTGACCCGAGATGGCCTTCACAGGGTGCCTTTGAAACAGAAATGCCTTGAAAGTGTGTGCCCTGCAGTCAGTGCTCCTTCAAGGTCAAATAGAAATACCCAGGGTTTGCACAGAAGAAAAGCAGCGTCTCCTCTTCCCTTCTTGTCCGTACAGAGTATTCCGGGGAATTTTAACTTAAACCCTTAAACAGAACGGGCTTGTTCAGAGACTGGATAATGTCCTTTCTATCTGGGCAGATGAGAAGTGACGGCCAACTTTCCCAGAGATGAGTGTCAGCTGGTTAAAACACACTCAGTAAAAGGCAATCTTACCTCAAGGATCGCATTCATAAGGAGAAGAAGGAAGCTAATTTCCCGTGGCCTCTGGCCTTTTAGCAGATCGAACTTAAGATGCAGATCCCGGGGCCACGGGACACACCCTGCCGACAAGCACATCGCGGGGCGTGCTCCGGGCGGCAAGCAAAACCATGCCATCTAGTGGGGCTCCAGTCACCTTTTTTTTCTCCTTTACCAGTTCCTCTGCCTCTCTTTGCCAAACCGTCTTCATGTCAAAGTCGAAGGGCCCCCTTCTGGACTCGTAGTTGCCACTGGCGTGATCGCGGTTAGACTCTTCATAAACCATGTAATCCGGTATGGACGCAGCGGGGACCCTGCAGAAACGGACGGAAGGGCCCCGGCCCGCGGCTTAGGGCCACCTCCTGACCTCCCCTCTCTGCCTCCCTCCTTCCCCCTCCCCCCGCCCCAGCACCTAGCTCTGACCTTCTCCAGTCCCCGCCCACCCAC